ATACATGTTTGGGGGTAATGAGAATACTTTGTTCTAATTATGCCCCTCCAAAAAAATCCTTCAGAAATTTGTGTTGGGCTGGGGGGCATAGCCCCCTCAGCTATAGACATAGCTCCGCTGTTGCTGGGCAATACCAAATAATCTGCTAGATATGTTTACTTTTCTATTTTGTTTTATTGTTAACTCTAAGCAGTACTGAAAAATTATTTTTCTTCATTGGCAGAGCGAATAAATTTCAAGAAAATTATAGATGAACACCTTATGTACAGGGACTGGAAGCATGAATAAGTAAAATGTGCTCGCAATACATTCTCTGAGATGTTGGAGTTGCTATATATTCTTGAAAGATTACATAAAATGTATCAGCGATTCTATTGGTTCGTTCTTTATTTGTGTGGTTGAAGGAAGTACACCATGTGTTTTGCTGAAACCTAGAGAGTACTTGATATGCAGAAAGAGAAAAGCGTGCATATTATCACCAAGCAATTAAATTATATTAGACATAGCTATTTTTTGTCAACCCTTTATGCTAACTTGTACATCCAGCACAACCATTAGACGATAAGGTGGCTTGAGAAGCCATGCTTGCATTATGTATCATCAGAACCAATGGTGACAGTTCTCTAAGTTGCAATGCCATAGCACAATTCTTAGTTCTCTAGGAATTTATTTTTCAAATATACAGTACATCCTAAGCTGGTATAATAGGATCTTGAGTCTCAAAGTGTTCCGTGAATCTTATATCTGATGTTTTGTGTGTTGAGGAAACTCATGTGCATTTTTCACTATGTGTCACTGTAACATGTATATTACATCTAGCAACCGCTTAACTACAGTACTACACTCACATGCATTTGCATTTTCACCGGTTCCTAAAGACGGTTTTCGATAAAGCTTACCTAACGACTTGAACCGTGTGCTTAATAACAAAAGAACTACAAGCAAAACTACCAATGCCACATGACAAAACAAAACTACTGAGACATAATGGTAGTGAAATAAATCGTTGTATAATAATTCATCACATAAAACACCATGTTTAATTAGGGTATTATAGAGGTTTACGGATGCATGGACCGCTGTATAGAGGAAGAAGATGGCGATGGAGATGGTGGTGAACTCGTTGGAGAGGGTGGTGGTGATGACAGTTCCCCCGACGC